AATTGGCAGTTGAAAAAACTGACTACGAGTATGAAAGAGGTTCATATACCTCGTACATTCACTTGTTTTCATTAATTTCGTGTCAAGAGTAGCCACATCAAAAAATTTAGACTAGACTTATAAATATTCATGTTAGATGTCAAGGTCCTCCATATGTATTTCGGAATGTCTGCATTTCTGTTGACTTTCAGAGTTCTATTATTCATGAGATATATCGTTTATTCAAACTATCTTAATTTCGAAAAGTTCTTATTTGTTTAATGCTGAATACTGATAATTTCGAAATTCATTTTTGAACTATTTCAAAAACTTGCACAGTAATCTGTCAAACATTTTTCGTAGTGAAATATATTTGAAATGAAAAAAAATCCGAAATATTTCAATAGAAATTAAAGGCCTAGCAATGAAGGTTATTTTAGTATAGAAAAAAACTTTCTGCAAACACATTATCAAATATTCTTCAAAGATTCAAAATGTCTGATAGGTACTTATCGGACCAACCGTCTTTTTTCGTTATCCAATAGATTTCACCTAGTTAGGAGACTATTAACAAAAAATTTTGACATCTCTCAAGAAAAAAAGTTATATAAATAAATCCACTTTCGAGAACGCTATGGAAGTAGAAGATTTAGTTTACCATAGGCTTTCCATGTTATTTACTGCACACTGATTAATAAGCGTTACGTGAAGGTTAACTACGGTCAATGGTTACAAACCCGTGTAAAATAACTAGACGTACTAAATGTCTTATATCATACTTATTTAATATAGGCGACAGAGTCATCAAAAATATATGTTAATAGTTTCAACCTTCTCAATAACAACTACCTACATAGATACGAGCCACAATGAAAAATTGTTTATTTGTGCGTCTTAGATAGACGTCCAAAATACATAATTGGAATGAGTAGAAATAATACGGAATAATTTGTTTGCACCTGAAGACTAATGTGGATATGAATATTCAAATCGCGGTAAAAAAGCTCGGGCCAAAATTCACATTATCACACTATAAAATGTTTACATTTTTTTACAGTATTCAAGGTCATTATTTGCTACTTCACGAACTATGAATGTCATTTTGACGCATACGAGATGTGTTTAGAATATTTAGATAGTTGGTGATTTTCGAAAAATAAAATTAGAATGAATAATAGTATAATGAACACGTTTTAATGAGTATTAAAAAAATCTGTAATTTTAGAAAGAAAAACACTTTCGAAAATATGTAAAAAACTCTGGCGAAAATTCACATTGAATACTCTACACTACAAAATGTTTACAGTTTGTGCAGTGTTAAAGGTCTTTATTTCCTACATCAAGAACTATCATAGTCATTTTGACGTATCTGGAGAACGAAATGATCTGAATATTTGGTAGTGATGATTAAACTCTCAAGAAGTTTTAGAAAAATGCAGTGTTGCTAGTTATCATCTCTTTTTTCATTAACTTTGTTTTTCAAATGAAACATTCCTGTATTGTAAACATTATAAACATTTTTAAATACGATGTTGTTTTGCAAATAACCATTATTCCTTCAACAAGTGTATGTAAATCTAACCCTGTAACGTTTTTGACATTACAACGGTAAGCAATGTCAGAAAAAATAGACCATTTTTTAAAATTTGTATTCAACATCAAACTAAAAAGTGAAACTAAATAGAAAAATTTACTTTATGAACTGCGCACCATTACTTGCATACAATGGCACAACAAGATTCAGTTTCCTCCCTTACATAATAAATGTGTTAGTAGCATATAGCACATGATAATTCCTTCCCATAAGCAGTTGGCTACGTCTCGAGGACTTTTGGATTCAATCATACCTATAAAAAAAGTCCATTGAAGTTATATCGGCGAAAATTGGTGGCCATTCTGTATAACCTATCTTTCCAATCTATCAACTAGGACAATTATCATTGAGGAAAATTGTCGCATTGGTTCCACGCTTGAGGGAGAACCAAATTTTGTTAAAAAATTACCGCATTTCGCAATAGGGGATATAACTGGATGGTGTTATTAGTGCTTGGCATAACTTGCTCCCCAAAAAAGCAAGTTATACCAAGCATATTTCCAGCATTCAATATTTAGAAACATAATTCGTTCTAATGCCAAAGACGCTTTCTTTATGGCAGATAACAGTACAGTCACAAAGTATTTAAAATGTATAGATACCATAATCCTTCATTTCCAGTGAGGTTCTGAAACTTCAAGAAGAAAAAATATTATACCCTCATTTTGGATTTCGCGTTTTTCGATGAAAAATAGCAATGAACTCTCGCGGAAGTCAATCATACAATGTATTCAGGTATTGAAAAACGAGCAAGATACACGTAATAAGAGATATTTCCAGAATATCTGCGAATAAAGAAGATTCTGCAGGAAAAACTTCAGACGATTTGTTGCCATGATTATCCCCGAGACTGCCATACACACACTCAAATTTGAATAGACCTGTATAATCATTAATTTATTTCCAGCGCTCACTATCTGTCCCTAGGCTTCATCTATACTTAGAAGAATGTGTAAAATCCAATCGGAAATGCATAAATAGTTGTGGAGCGTTAGACGCCGCCTTGGCATTTATCCAAATTATTCCCAATTATAATACGGATACAAGTAAGCTATAAAGAATTAGTAGAAGACACTTGTGCCAAATGTTGAGCAAATTAAGGCCATTCAATTTAGACCAAACAGAATGAGGATAATCCCCAAAAATGTCATTTCTGGTTGGAGTTCATGGTTATTCAACAAAATTATGTTAACTTCTTTGTGGTTCCTTTATCCTCTATTTCCGGTAACTTATAATTGAATGTTACAGACTAGTTAAAAGAAAATATCAAACCATTATGAGTTTTCTTTCACTCACAGAATATGCTTTATAAAGAAATAGCGTTATGACCTTCGAAAGACTTAAGAGTATCTGTGTGGAATTAGATTGCCTTTTCCATATGATATACTCAAGAATATTTGTGAAATTGGCTTGGTTGATATAAGATACTATTCTTCTCCAATACCTACCATTTTTTTTTGTGTTGGACCGAAGTTTGTATTTCTAGTTCAATCATTGGGCATTGATGAGACCTATAGCAGGTCGAAACAGTGCTGTGTAGTGTTTGGACTCCGTTTTTGGACTCTGGTTTCATCTAGTTGCCGTGCAGTGAAAGACAGAATGAATCAATCTCATTCGGCAATCGATATCGAAGCTCGACTTTGTAACGGATCAACTTGAGGAACCTTTTTTATATTTACCATCTCCTTTTCTTACTAAAGCATGCCGTTCAAGGATAGCTGAGCTCAGCAAAGCATTCGTGGTTCAGCCTTTGTTTTTGCGCTCCAATTTCAAATAGAGGCAATACTTATTTATTTAACATTTGAATCGCACAATAACATTGAACAAATATTTAAAAATATATCACAGTATAGATCGTGAGCGCGACGAACCAGTGTAAATATTTTCCAATGAAACTCGACATTTCCGAATGTAATATTTATAAAGATCATAAGTTACTTCCTTCCTTTCTTTGGAAGACTCCCTCATCCTTCTTTTTTTTGTATCAAGATGGAGTAGTAGAAAGCCAAAAACTTTCTTTCGCAAAAACTAAATATAAATATTGGCATATTTGAGATTTCCAGGAAGGAGTGAAAATCCCATGACTGGAGTATTATATAGGAACGTAATTGCTGACTCCTACCTTGTACTTTTCATGAATAATTATTTTCTCTGAGTCTTCTAGGTCACTGGATGCCCTGGCATCGTGCCACCAGTCTCTACAACGACAGTTTTGGCAAGGATTTAAGCCACATCTAAGCTGCAGTAATAAAAGCTCATTATATATCCAAAACGTTTCAGGAAAATTTGTATTGCCATCAGCATAAGTGGGGAAAACTCAACACTAGGTAAAAATTTTTTTAGCACACCAATGGAATTATTAGTTTTTAGTGATTTATTTCTGTAATTGTTTTGAAAATAAAATAGGGTCGAATGGAAATTAATATACACATCAATGAAATTTCGTTGAAATTTCATTGCATAAACATACTGATTTGATATTTTCATACTGGAAAACATAACATAACGATTTTTGGCTAAAACCCAACCATAATGTAAAGTTCAATTATGAAAATTATATCTTTCAAAAAATAAAAATGTATCAGTTAAGCTCAAAATACTGAATGTAGTTAATATACTTCAAGTTGATTTCTACAATCGCGATATGTCATTCACTTCAATTCATTTCAAGTTATTGTAAGTGCTCGAAAATTAATCACAACATCCAATCTAGCATGCAATATTTGATGGGGCAGCCCATCAGATAAGAATGATTCGTGCATGACTTGGGCGTGATATTTCCATCAACTCGACTAATTAAAATGAAAAAGTTTAACAATTCAATTCATATTTGCAAATCATTTTTCCATTGATTATAAGAATGATCTCCGTGGTACTATTGAAGAATTGATGATTTTATTTCATTGTAACGTTCCAGTACGATTTGTGTTCCATATGCATATCGATTGGTGTACATCCGGGAATTCCGGATATACTCGTATATTTTTATCCCTCATTACATTAGTACTTTTTTCCCTCTAGCGTCACTATTATTGGAAAATACTTTTTGAATTATACAAGGGTCTTTCGAGAAAAAATCTCGATCAATTTATAACTATTTTTAGAACCAGAACCAATAAACATCGTTCACCTCACCTGACTTATGAAAGAATACATACATACATTTTTCTTAGTTTCTAGGTCAACAAATAATCGTTGAGTCAGTCATATAAACATCACTTGCGAGCTAGTAATAAATCATTTGTACGTACGTATACACGCAATTTCGTCAAAACCATTAAAATTCATAATTCCAGACCCACATAATCGGGATGATAAAATAAAATCGAAATTCGTGTTGAATTCATTACAACCACTATTGTGGCTAGTCGGTATCGCTTAGAGGTGGATAGAAGGTGATAATTATAGTGAAAACTGTTTTACTCACCTACTATACTAATTAATGAAGATACTAAAACTAATAACAGGAAGGCCCAAGGCGGTGGATATTTGTGGTGATATAAGTGCAGCCGTCTCCGCCCTGAAACAGATTAAAACTAGTTTATTTAACTGAGAATTCAGTTTGTCAAATTGATTATATTATTAATGAATATTAGCGACAAAACTGATTGAAAAAATCCAACTTAAATTGCCAATAATATACAATTCCAAATGGAGGTGAAATCCGTAGAAGCCAAAACATTACTCCAGTAGCTAGTTCTAAAAAATCATTCATATTTTGCTGGAGATATTCTTTGCAATGCTAACAAAAATGATGATTAGGATATATCGTTTAATGCATAATGGCATTATATATAAAATTGTTATTATAAATAACTTAATATTTTACTGCTTCCATGTTTTTCAATATAGCTTTAAAAAAAAGTCGTCTTATTTTGCTGAAACGGACATTGTGAAGAAAGATAAATTTACAATAATTTTAAAACAGTTACAATTAAAGTAAACTGATTAGGAAGGTGTTGATGAGTCATTTCCAGAACCAAAGTAAAAAAATAATTTTTTTCGAAATTTTGTTTTACAAGTTATCAAATCTTGGTTTTTGAACTCCAAAAAGTTACACATTTTCTTAATAACTTGGTGAAAGACAGATACATTCATTTTCTTTCTTTCCCAACATCACGTATTTATCACCAAATGCCTGCCTGCTTTATTGAATTTTTCAATTTCTATCAGCTATTACTCTTTTCAACTTATCTTTCTGCATTTCATAAATACGCTGTATAATTTTCCATATTCTCAAGCACTCTGGGTCATGTGCTGTTTCAAATATTCTCAACAATTATAAAAAAATGCAATACCCTATAATAGTTCTCAAATTTCCCAAAACCGTATATTCAGTATTATCAGTCAGTTAGGTTAGGTTAGGTCCAAAGTGAGTAGGTCTATTGGACCCTCCACTGTCAGTTACAATCAGTCTGTATTCGTTTAAACTCTATGACTATCCAGCTTATCAAGCTCCTTGTGAGACTCTTGATTTTCCTCAATAGTTATTTATCATATGTTTTAAACCAAAAATTACAATTTTCGTAATACAAATCATGAAATTATGAAACAAAGTTCATTATCTGTAAAGTTCAGAGTTCCATATCAAATATATTTCATTTTGGATCTTCAAGAAACCACACAAAATAAAAATAAAACAATCATTAGTAGATGGAAAAAATGAAATACTTTGACATCCATGCCTTGCTTCTCAAATGCATTAAAATTGTTAACGCAATCAAACTCACGGAAAAATAACAGTATAGAATACAACTCCTAGTTTCAATAAACTATGTACGTGGAGTATTCGAAGGGAGGCTGTACTTAAAAAATACCATTTACCTAGAAAACCGTACTCATGTTTTTCATCTTTTTATGTCAACCATTCCCACATTCCTGTGATCTTAATTTCTCAAATTCGGTTAGGTCCTCTGAGTAAACAGACTTTCCCGTTAAAAAATTTTTCTCGTGCGTGTTATGTTTGCAGTGCAGCCTAGCAGTCTGTAAGAATATTGATCCGTTAATTTCATTGAGGCCTAAAATTTATAGTTCTTATACATGGCAAGAATGCATACACTTTTTCCTAAAAGGATGTGTATTGACCAGAGGGAAGCCGCAACCATACTCATTGAAAAAATTTGTAGTTATGTAATAAAAACTCTCACTAATAGAAATATCACTGATGAATATGAAACCTAGAAATTTGTGGTGTATAAACTCATTTATATAATCATCTAGTTCGTCACAAATTGTGAAGGAGGTTTTGTTTTGGAATGTAATTTTTCAATTACAGAAGATTCTCACCACGGTAACTGCCACAAATAGAAATTGAAATTATGATATTCAGAAAATTAAGTAACCTATATATTCACTTCTGCATTTCAAAAATAAACTCGAAGACTGACATAGTTCAAGCATCCTCTGTATACCCTCATTAACATCGTCAATCTTGCATATCGTGTATAAAATGTTTTAGAAGCAAAGCACTCTAGACGACTCTAATGTCATCATTAGTGGTCCCAGTTGGGGAAAAAAAACGTTCGAGCAGTTAACAAAAAGGCTTCGTTATAGATTGAGACATGAAGTTCTCATTCGTAGTTGGGTAAATAGCCTATTAGCGTTACACGAAGCTCTTAAGTATCTATACCAGTCCAATACATCGGTATGGGCAGTAGGGAAAACTAATTACGACACATGGAAAAAAAGTACTCACTTAAGGAAAATGTAACGGTATAAGATGATGACATAACTGGTTTCTGATAGCCTGAATTTGTAGATATTAAAATGGCAATAATGTTGCAATGAAAGTATTTTTTTGAGAAAAAAAAACAGATTTTCTCGTTCTGATCTGGGTATTTTTCACATTTCGTAGAACGACTTACATAATTTTCAAATAATATTTTTCGATATTATCGCCGATAAAAAGATATTCATTACAAAACCACACATCAACTCACCTTATTCCAGATGTTTTTTAACATTTTCCCCATTGTTACTAATTCTCAAACGTTGTTGTTGATGGATCTACCTTTGCTTTTTTCCTAATCCCTGATTAGGATGGTCTTTTCCTTCCTTTTCAGTTTTTCCCTTTCCATTGAACAATTTTTCAAAATAATTTCTCCACATTATCAGTATTTTTTCCTCTCTATTAGCCCTATCTTGAGCAATATCATTTTTATTTGTATTCAGTTTCTTTCTTTGTTCAAATCCTTTTCTTCACTGAATTTTCCACGATATTTTCCATGTTCTTTTCTGTTGTAGAATTTTAATTTCATTCATTCACTTCATTACCTTTCAATATTTTTGATTAGGATATTATACAACGTAAGAGTTTTTCTAGTTTCCACTATAATAAATTCGATAATAGTAGGCACTAAATTCTCAGAAATGCCTGTAAAACTTTTACCTTAGTAGCTGTCTCTTGCAGTGGCGTAGAAAAATTATACCAATTATACTCATATAAATATATGATAAAGTATATGGAATCACAACCTGACAACAAGGTTTTCGTTTTAATGCAATAATAATTTTGAGAACTATTATGGAATTTAAGTTTAGTTTAATATTCTATAACGATACTGTCAACTTCATTCATTTCTCCATACCACGTAATATTTGCACTTTTTCATTTCTCAGTAGAGTTATAGTGTTGTTGTCAATATTAGTTCAATTGATAGGTTTGTCAAGTTTTAGTAGTGATTATACTCTCTTTAAAATTTCTGCATCTATGTATCCTTTATCTCACTTTTGCGATTTTTTTATTCTACTCGAACTCTAGCAGGGATTTAAAAATAAATTTAGTTTTTGGCTGAAGCACATACTGTTTCAGTAAAGTTGATGATTACATTCTTGTCAAAATCCAGTAATAAATATTTTCCGAAACTTCAGAAAGCTAATAAATTTTGCAATACTCTCACTCTCACCGTGAGCGCATAAGCCGCAAGCAATTCACGCCTACTAATTATAGAATAAACATAATGTAGCTTGACATATATACCGCATTTCTTTATTTTCAATATGAACGTCTAAAAATACCAAACGGAACCTGACAAAAACTGATACGTTTTTTTTCGTATCGCACTTTCTAGCAGGCGTGCATGTCATCCTTGGAAAAGTACGCAATCTAGATCCCATCTATTTTCGTATATCACTTCCCCTTTCTAATACTTCTACGTTCTTTTCCGCTTTCTTAACATAACTGAGATCGAGCGGGACCATTGAGGGGTTTCTTCTACTTCCACACCACACACAACTCTCAAGATTCACTATATTTGGGTCAATGAACCCTTTGGACGCATGTCGCCGGACCCTTTCGTTCTGTATTTTGGGGCGAACGACGAAGTATAATTTTTTAGTGGCTCCAGAATGATTGTTTGTTTTGCTCGAGTTTCACTCGATAAATCCCGGCACAATGATTGTTTTTCGGATATTCGAGAAACATAATAGAGACAATGCAATCATTATTTCATTATTATATAATTGCACATGAACAGAATTTCCACAGAGTGGACGAATCAGATTTAATAAAATATTTAATATGCCTCAAACTGAGTATAAATAAATAATTAATGACAAAAGCCTCTCGATATAATTATTTTATTTTTGGATAGAAAATCCATCATTCAATATTAGAGATTCTTCCCAAACAATTTTGATTCAACACGCTGACTCGGAGGTCATAAAAACTTTTTGAAAACGAGGACTGATATCAAAGTCTGGAGACCTATTTTCATATTGTCTAAACTCAAAATAAAAATTGTTTGTTCTTTCAACAAAATATTGTTCTTTCCTACAAATATTATTTTTAACTACTGAGCAGCTCATCGTAATGAATTATTGTCAAGAGTTCATTACATAACAGTATCTGCATATACCTGTGGTAAGTTTAGAAATAATATTGTTAACAAAAATTTCAAATGATAATAAAGTATTGAGGAATTGAAATGTACTTATTGATGAAACTAGAGCCCAAAAATAAAACATTCGTGATTCAACAGCAGCTAGGCAAAGGTGAATCTTATTCAGGCTTGCCCTTTAACGACAGATGAGTCCAACTATGCAATCGAAGTTCAGCCTAGCACCATTGATGACAAGCCCGGTAAGAAATGAATTGCCACTTCAAAGATGATTTAGTCCAGAAATGCATTCAGCCTTTCACCAATGATGAGACCTGTCAATTCTGTCGATTACATGCTAATAAGGCATATAAAGAATGTAAGCCATATATCACAATAAGGCATAGGAGCATATGGATGAAGACTAAAAAGTATTTCAAAAAAGCTATATTGACTACATTTTAACGTCATTATGAACTGAAAATTAAACAGAGGAAAAACAGATTCCAGTATCGATAAATGAGACCATGGATTAATTAGTAAAAAAAGAAAACACAATATTAGTTGTAATACTTATGACGAAATGTTTTTTTTTATTTGAGAACATTTTGGAGTGTTGTTTTATGAATTGGAAGCATGATAAACAAAACGCATGGAATCAGAAAATTGAATTTTATGATAATTGAATATCACTATATTTTTG